GACAGTGTCCAAGCCCAGGTTTCCAAGGCCAGAAGCGCTTTCCAGCACTCAGTTTCTTCATTAGACTGTATCCTACCTCTTCTCTCCGGTCCAAAGGAGAAAGTACAAGTCCAGGGGAAAAATCTCATTGACAAGGATGGTATTTTAGCATAACAGTCCTCAAATTTCATTAACTAGAAAAAAATAATAAAAAAAAAAGGCGAGAGAAAGTGGCCAAAGGACAGAGAAGAGCCAGAAGGTGTTCACAGGCTGGGAGCCAATGAGCAGATCTGTGGCTGCATCCAAGTCGTGAGCAACACGGTCCAAGAAAGTCTTGTTGTACACAGTTTCTTACATGCTAAACATCAGAAAACCCTCAGAATTTATTTCTTCCCTCAAATGCATGCAGGAGAGAAGAGAAAGCAGAGAGAGAAGAGAGACAGAAGAGCTTTGGGAGGATATCTGAAGAGAGATGCCAAGTCAGTGGCATTACAGATGTCAGATACACTGTACCACAACAGCTTGGAGGGAGCAGAGACCACAGGGATGGACTCAAATGCCAAACGTCCTCCTCTGTTGCGTCCCTTCTTTTCCAAGAATTTCCTAACAATGAATTTGTTTGCCAGCTTTTCTTAACAGAAGAGATTTTGGGAGGGCAGGTCCAAAGACTCCTCTGGAGATGAAGTGCAGAGGCCTCTCCAGATCAAAGGCAGCAGCAACTAGGGACAACTCCCATGAACTCAGTCCTACAAACTGCTTTACAAAGGTCACTCCACACATCTAGTGAAGTCCAGCCCTATCAACACCAACGATTGAATCACTCATTCCAGAAAACCAGATACTAGTTAATTGAAAGAGCAAACCAAATAAATATATGGATTCTTTACTCCTTGCACTCAGCATCTCTTCTTTTGATAACTGAGCCTAACATTTTCCAGTCACCTACTTGAGACAGTTAACAGGGCATTTGTAAGAGCACTCGCAACATCAAGCGAAGGTCAAGAGGGCTGTGAAGAAATCTGACTCAAAAGCCACCTCGAGAACCCTCTAATGAAAGCAACTACTAATGAAAGACACTTCTAGACCCAATCTAAGGGGATTTTTAGCTTCTTCAAGATCCTTGGGCAAGCTCTGGACAGTTAGCACTTTGTAGTGTCAGACGTGTTATTCTTCGTAATACATTATGTTATTCTATGGGCCCAACATACAGCAAGAGGTTTTGGAGCTGCAACCTTGGTTGTACTGTGATGAGTCAAGTTCTTCAGCCCCAGTGATGTTCTAGCACATATACAGAAAATCACAGAATCATTCAGGTTGGAAAGGTCCTCTAGAGATCATCTAGTTCTACCCCCCTGCACATACAGGGTCACCTAGAGCACGTGGCACAGGACTGCGTCTAAGCACATTTTGAAGATATATCCCCTCAATTTCAGTCTGCCCCAACTGCTTTCCTTTTCTTTGACATTATTTTTCTAGCATAATTGAATTGCAAAACACATTATGTACATTTTCCTGCTCTGTTTTAAGAGGCAGAGAAAGAATGGAAATAATACCCCTTCCCTAGCTGGCATCATGAGAGTTATGGAGTTATTTAAAAATACACCAATATGCCAAATTCACTGGTCCCTAGAGCAATCAACATCCACAGCCTCAAGTTGTTGTTTGGAGAGTATGTTCCACTTGCCTTAGGTTGTTTAGCTTTGGTCGATACATGAGGTTGTTTTTATCACAAAAATGCCTACAGCATGACAATCAGCTTGTTATAAATGATGGGAAAAAAATAAAATAAAACAGACTGTCTAATGCCACAGGCAAAAGCTTAACTGGAAAGCACTGATATTTTAAATTGCTTCTTAATCACTTCCAGATATTTTTCCCCAAAATTGTAACTACTTTCTGAGCAACCCCACCTTGTTGAGAAAAGGCGACGCTTGCGGGCACAGACAATGTTCTGCAGTCAGCAAAGATGCTTTGATCCCACCAAGGACTTCAAAATTGGCACTTGTGTGAGCATCGTTCTGAAGCTGAGCTCTCTATTTGCAGGCTATTCCCTATTCTGCCTCCCATCCGCTGTCAATATAGATTGAGTAAATTTCATCCTAACTCACAATATACTTCATGGGTCTTGCTCAAAATTTTTGAGAAAATATCCTTTCCAGCTGGCCAGTTTAAGCCAGAGTAGAACATCTTAAGCAATTGTGCACTCAAGGAGATGCAGAACTGCCCTAAAATAGCCATCACTGGTTTGAATAACCTCCTAAAAACAAAATAAACTACCTCTCTCAATAACAGGTGCCATGTCGTTGCTCCTTTTCACTATCTTTGCCTTGTTTGATTTTTGGAGCCCACATTCTCCACTAAACGCTGCATCAGGCTGAAAGATGAGAATAGGGAAGGGGAGCAGGGTCAGGAGACCACCATTGATCTCATCATATTTCAAAAACACTTCAAATTTCATAGAAAAAAAAAAAATCATTTTGGAGGCGAGAAACTCCTTTAACATTATGATGAAATTCTGATAGCACCATAGAGTCTGCCTTCCTCCTGTTCAAGGTTGGATCAGTTTAGGGATTTGGGGATCTTTCTCCTGTGCAATTCCAAGGGCAGCAATCGTTTTGTAACGCCCTTTTCTCTTCTTTGCTGTTGCCAATGAAATCCTCTTCTGGAACAACACTTAGAGATTCAACCTTGCAAACACAACCTTCTGGGTGTCTGCTCTACCACACCCCTCAACCCCCATAGTACCTCCATTCTAACTTACAGAGAGAGAAGAACGAAGCCCACTAAGGCTCTCTATATTTTATCTAAAGATACGCTAGATATCTACAGTATGTAGATATTGAATCTAAAGATACAATAGGTATCTTTGTAGATGTCTATTGTACCTTTATAGAAGCTAGAAAATAGGTGATGGCAACTGTGAGCAAATTTATGATACAACAGGAGGGTAAGAGAAGGAGCAACATTGGATTTTCCTTCGTTCATGCATTTTCAGGTGCTGGTGCTCGCTCCAAACATCCATCCAGCCAAGGAATGCTCACATCAGTCCGTTTATGCATGGTGGAGATTAAGCTTATTTTTAAGGAAGAGAAACACTCAAGTGCTGTCCTTAGCAATAACTACTGTAATAACTATAACTCTATTTCCTTGTATTCCCCTACATCTCAAAACTAAGATAAATCTTTCCTTCTCTTTATATCCAAATCTTCCCTGTCTAAGGAGTATTCCTAACACACAAGAATTGCATGGCTGAAAGAGTATGGAGAAACTGGACAAAAACAGAGATAAAAATTATTCTTTTTCCTATGTTTTGAAGTCCTTCATTCCTGTACAACTAAGCACTAACATGTAAAATACAGAATATTTAACTGGGTCTTATGATGCATCATCCCTCCTCCCTCCCGACATCCCTCCCAAGGGGCAGCACAATCTAGCCAAATGAGGCTAAGGCAGCGGGTGGAGAGATCTCACCTGGATTTCAGTCTGGTCAAGCTAGACCAAGAGATGGAAGAGGTTCCATGAACTAGTTAGAGTCTAGAAATGACCAAGACAGACAGTTTTGCTGTTACAGTGTCAAAAATCACAGCTCCTTCATCAAGAGAATGTTCTTTTACCAAAATATACCCCTCTCTCCCAACTGTGATGTCTCTGAGCAACTCAGAGTCTGTGCTTCCCCTTGCCCTGCACCATAGCAATGACTCCTTAAACCAAACCAAGGCAGGAGAGGGAAGATGGGAGCACCAAGCTGAGGGCTCTCTGTGATGGTCTCCAAGCATCTTCTGTTTTCCCCAAACCACAAGGCAGACCCCAGCAAACCCTGGTGCTCTTGTATTTCCCCCTGAAGGACATTGGGACACCGAAATCTATCACAGCTGCCCAGATCTCCCAAAACCAAATTATGTTGCCCATATGGGAGAATATCTTCCTAGCTCTTATGGGAAGTCACAGGATTTTGTGTGGATCTCTAGTTCTCTTAGGGATGGCATTTCTAAAGGGATATAACAGAGAGAGCTCAGAGTAGCAGCTCTTTCAGTGCTAAGGAGATTAGGATGACAACATCAGGAATCCTAATGCACTGTCTCAACATGCATTTGCCCATGGTTGTCACTTCAGAATGCTGCAGAATGACTCCAGATATTGTGCTTGCAGCAATTCAAGTGTTAAGACACCAGAAAAAAAGTAGCAGTGCAGGACACGCATGCTGTGGAGTGGGGGCCAAGACTGCCGATGGGGTAATGATCCATGTAGTCCTCCGCAGAGACCACAACACTGGCAAAATCAGGCCAGAACCTACCCCAAAACTGGTATGTCCCAACAGCCTGGACAGCTGAACAAGGGTAATGGCTGCTCTTCCCCTTCCATGTTCCTAGCAGCATCCCATGGAGCACGATGCTCCCACAAACCAAGAATTTCACTTTGGATGAGGTGGATATGAAATGATGGGTGAGAATCAAAGCAACTCAAATGCCCTAAGGAGCCTACATCACATATTCCAAGCCTTCATACATGTCCTGGGGCAAATGGATTCCAGTCCTTAGCTCTTGTAAGGACAGAACTTGTATCCCAGAAAAAACACCATTTACGAGGTTTAACAGTCAAACTTCCAAAGACTGGAAAGACAGCAATAACACTAAAATGCAACAAGATCAATCAAGAAGCAACGCACAATAAAAAGCTGTTTTCTTTAACAAAAGTATTTTTAATATATGTACTTGTGTACGCGCAAAGAAGAAGAGGGGGCATCTGAATCCCCTCTCAGCTCTGCCTGCACCCACCAGCCACACTCCTACACCAAACATGAATCCAGATGCAGACTTAGCCTTAGTCAACCTCTTTGTTGCATCACCTGGATGAAAGAGGCATAGGTCAGGCTAGGTAAACTATGTCCTTAGGGAGGACCTGCTGGGTTATTGGCCCAGAGTGGCCTCTCCAAGCCTCAGGTGCTGCTGGGCTAATGTTCAGCCATGTGGATGAAGTGAGCAAAGGCCACAGTGCATGCTGTGCTCAAGCCTTGTACTCACCTTGCAGCAAAGCTGGAGGTTCAGCTACCTTCATCAGAGTTCACTCACCACAGATCCAGGCTGGGGAGAATTAAGGAGCTAAAATCAACTCTATTGTCTCAAATTCAATGATAGTAGGAGGTGAAGAATAGCCAATCTGAATAGGCAGAGATTTGGCCTCTTTGCCTCAAGAGATGTCCTTCTATGGCTTTGCACTCAGATGAACGGACATCCAGGGCTAGCACCACAGAGCTCCATGGCTACCAAACAGCAAGGTCCTTGGAAATGTCCCATGAGCAACCTGTGGTTGTTGTAAACCTCCCCAGACAACATCCTTCAAGTTCCCATGTGTTTACCCTATCTGCATCACACAGCAGGAAGATGGGCAGATGCACGAAAGCTTGACCCAACTTCCATGGTGTATATGGAGCAAGCAGGGAGAATGCAGTCAGGAGGCATCCAAGAGTGTGAAGACACCACAGAAATGGTTAAAAAGTTGCATGAGTCAACAAATCAACAAGGGCAAACATACTGTCAACAGAGACAGTGGCAGCTGGTGACAGATAAATAGCTTGGCCTCCTGACACCAACAACACATTTTTCAGAGCCTGAAGGGACCTTTGCGTTCATCAGGTTGGGTGTCCTTCATAATTCACACCACACAACATCACCCAGCACCCTCCTACCTCAAGTCTGCAACTATGAGTTCAGTGAAATCAAGATGGATTTGAGATGCAGATATGCCATAAAGTTGATTCCCCCTTGCTGCTAAAAACCTGTCCCACAACCAGCTTGACTACTGGAACCCCAAAGTGCTTCCTAACACACGGATCTACACAATTCCCAGAGACCACATTCCCACGTAACCTATCCCTTCTTTGCCAAAGAAGAATATTCACATCAAAGCAAGAGATGGAAACAGAAAGCTATAGAATCATAGAATCACAGAATG